GTCATTTAACGATTTTTTAAACGATGAGTTTTATATAAAACTAGTGGTGTATGGCATCGTACTTCAAGGCATATTGCTGAAACTTTCCGTACCGTAATTCAAAATGTTCGAGGAATTTTGAATGTTTTCAAATAGATTATAAACAAATATTATCTAATATTTATAAGAATTTTATAAGCTGAATTCCAAAGTTGAAATTATTTGTTTAAAGTATATTTGAACTATAGTCAGAATTAAAAATAAAATCTGAATTATTTTCGCTATACAATTTTTTTTTTTTTTGAAAAAAAAAAGTTGAAACAAAATTTTGTTTTGCAAAATCAATTATTTTGTTAAGACAAGCAGAGAGTTCTTTGAATCATTTAAGTCGGACGCTTAGTTCTCTAAAAAACTGCCATTTTTTACCCATTTAGCTCCGTATCTTTGAAATGGCTGGGCCTGCCTTTGCCAAAAACTAATAACCACTTCTCCCAATCATTACTGATTGAATGTTGTTTAAATCATTCAAATCGGATGCTCCGTTCTCTCAAAAACTCGATTTCTATTTTCTGCACTTTTTGCTCTTTACCTCCGTAACTGCTGGAACTGCCTTTGCCAAAAACGAATCAGCACATCTCCCTATCAATAGGAATCGATTGTTTTTTGAACCATTCAAATCGGTTAATCCGTGCGCCCAAAAACATGGACGAAAAAATGCGGATTCTGAGGTATGCCAAAAGGTTCAGAAACCTTCAAAACGTCGTGAAATGCAAATATTTTTATTTTCGATTTTCGGCCCATTGCTATAACTACCCTACAGAAAGTTAATAAACATAATCGAGATTGATTATAATATTTCACGCATCTTTTATGCTATCGTAATTTTTTACTGTGGTAGAGCGGGGCACAAAGGTCTAATATGACTTTGAGCAATTATATTCAGAAAATCAAACAAACTACACATATCAAACAAACTACTATCTGTTCAGTAAAAATCTCTTCAAAAAAATGATCTTATTATTAAAATATCTACAAAATGTGTGTATTTGATGTGCGTATGTCTAATGATCATTTTTGTCCGCCAAATGGCGTTTTTTACTGATTTTATTGTATCTCCGAAAACGCTAGGCCTGTCTTTCCAAAAATTTCAGTAGCTTTTCATTTCATTAATACAAATCATAAAACATTTTTATGACGCTCCGTTCTTTTAAAAATTAAATTACCATTTTTGGCACTTTTTGACTCGTACCTTCGGAGCGGCTGATCATGTCTTTGCCAAAAACTAATCAGCACGTCTTCTTATCAATAGGAATCGAATGTTTATTAAAATATTCAAATTTGTTGATCCGTGACGTCGACGAAAAATTGTGTCCGCACATACATTCATACACACGCACAAACACACACGCTCACACATCCATTTACTTAAGGTGCCAGAAACCTTTGAAACGTAAAGATTTATAAAACTTTTCATGTTCGATTTTTTGCGATTACTACAACTTACCCTACGGGAAGTTAATTATTCGACCAATGCAAAATCTAAATTTTATGTATGCATTTGTCTTTTTTACCTCACCTAGGTCTAAGATTGTATAAAGGTTATATAAGAAAAGTGTTTAATCTATCTTAAAATTAACAATACATCTTATGAAACAATTAAATATCGTATCATTAAAATTTATTTTAAGGTTTCGTAAACTAAACAACAGTGCTCACAACCAAAGAAACTAACAACGAACAAAAGTAAGTTTGGATTGGATTTTCAGAAAAATCAATTTCCTGCTTTTTATGTAAAAAATTATAAACAAAGCTGAAAAAAATGTTTCTCACACATTTCATTTCCTGTTAACAAAGTGAAATGAATCTAATATTCTGACCTGACAGACGGGTAACTAATTGAAACTGACCATAACGAAATTCTTATAACAAAAACGAGATTTTATTAAAGAAAAAGGTCTTGGTGTTTTTTGCATGGACGCGGAATCATCTTTTTAGCGAGATCTTTCAGCGCGATATTAAACATATTTAAGAATTTTCTTATAATTGAAAATTATAGTAATATATTTTATTGTTAAAGTTTTATCAGTTTTAATAATTTTAAGTTTAACTTAAATAATGCACACAATTAATTAATCAAAGTATGGTATCAATTTAATATTTATCGTAAAACTAATATCATATAATAAAGTTTGTAACTTAATTTCGGCTAAATTTTCGGAAACTTATCTAAGGTGAAGTAAAAGAATTGTGAATTTTCCACCTCGAAACCAACTAAATCTGAACTTCAATAAGCCATTCGCGACCTAGAATTTTAAAATTTAGCTAAATTAAATGATTATAGTTATAAAAAAAACATTGGCCTTGCTCGTTCCAAAAGGGCTAGAGGTTCGACCATACAACCAGAAGGTACTAGATCCGGCACCTCGGACAGCCTGATGTCAAGCAATTATGTCACTGGTGTCACTAAAAATGGAAATATGTTTTCAAAATTGCTGTCCCATTTCTCTGTATGGCTGCATCAAATTAAAAATCGCAAATACTAGGGATATATTATTAATAAAATATACAAAATACAGATAGATCATCAGTCGCATTCTGAAAAAGGCACATATTTAAAAAATAACATCGTTTAAACAAATAAAAAAATAGACAAAAACCATCACATATTCGCAAACTATGTCTAGTCAATAAAATGTAATACTACATTTTATCTCAAATATGTTTCAAGCGTCATTTAGATAACGCCTAGTAATTATTATTTCTAAAATAATAAAATACTTTTTCTTCTTCAAAGAATAATTTTAACAGAATTAAAAATTCCTTTTCACAAAATTAATTAAACTCGAAAGTGGAGTTTAAAAAAAAACAATTCAGAATAACTCATCAGCAAAGAAAGAAAAGTTAGCGAACAATATGCCCTGAATTTCTCGGTGCTTTGGTAAACGATTGTTTCAATGGAAATCAAAAGCAGACGTTAAAAACATCTCAAGTCGAGTCAGAATCAAGAAATCAACGCACTTCTATTTCTTCTCAGTATTCTCAAGATAACTCAAACACGACCAGGGACTACGCATTCCTCCCATCAGTAGAGCTGGAAAAATACAAGGGAAATGAGAGATGCTCAACTTCGATGTATTTACGAAAAATCAAAATCATGGATAATAAAATTAGAGAAATAGTGTTAATTATTTACCTTTTTGATATGTTGCTTTTGATGGTAATATATTACTGACTTTAATTTTGATCTGATGCACTTTATGTTTATCAATGATGGTTGTATCGTATCAGTTTTAATTGAATTAAGTCTAGAAGTAGATACATTTATTAAGACAGTTTTGCTGATAATTAACAAAAAATAAATAATTGAATTAAATAATTACTCTAAAATCAATTAAATATAAAGTAATCATTCCATTGTAATGTAACTATATTGGTATCTAGCTTTAATTCATAGGGTAGGGCGAAGCACAAAAGTTCAATTTGACAATTATATTACAACAAATAACCCATATCAACAAAACAACTAGCTGACTGACTTTATGTTCAGTAAAATTCCCAGTTAATTTAAAAAAATTTAACCTGTTCCATTTAACTTCATAAGCGGGGTAAATTAGACTGCCAGGGCGCAAACAGTTTCAATGTCTTACTTTAATTTTAAAGGAATTTTATAAAATTATAGCTACATTTTTTAACCAATGCGTAATACATTAAATTTCATTAGTACATTTTTACAGAGATAACACGGTAAATAATCTCAATCTGGAAATTCGTCAGAAATATTTATTAGCAGAGTTGAAATAACTATTAACCTAATCTATCTAAAAAAGTTAATATTGCTTTTTAAAATTGCGTAAAATTGTTTTTTTTTTCAACTTAATTTACTTCCTTTTTTACTATTTTTTATTGTTTTTACCTTTCCCAGGCTAAAGGCTTAGATGGTTATTTTTACCCAGCCCAGATTTTATATAAAAACTGTTGAATCTAACTTAACCCTTTCCACTCGCTAATTTCGAAATTAGTTTGTATTTTGCCGATTAGGCGGCATCCGAATGGAAAGGGTTAAAACTCACAATATATATCATAAAACAATTAAATAACGTATACTTGAAAATTATTAAGGTCTTTTAAACTAAACAACATAAAACTAAAACTAAAAACTAACAACGAAAGAAAAAGCGCTTGCTATGGATTTTTAAACATTTCCGTTTATATCCTGATAGCAACGTCGTAAGAATCAAGGTATCGCTGGTTGTTCATCATTTTCCCTCTATTTTCAAATATTGTTGTTAAAAAGTTCTTAACTTTTCTGGTTTTTTAAATATAGGCCGTGGTCCTCTTCATCTGCGGACCTTTACGCCCTGCTCTACCCTTCGAGTTTTGTATCAAAAATAAAATTCTGGTAGTTTTATTCAGTTTTCTTCTAAATTTGTCAAACAGCATTGACATAATTTTCAAAGCAATGTTATAAAAACTACAATATTGTATAAATAATAAAACCGTCTGATAATTTAATGAATTTCACTAAATTCTATACCATATATAGTTGTAAGGTATGTTAAAAATATGAAATTTGTGAATTTTGGTTTATGAACCTATATGTAATTGAATTTTTTGGCTTTATTTGAAAAAATCAAAACGCTGGTTATCTGGAACTTTTCTGTGACAAACAACACAGTGACAAACTACGATTTGAAATATCTTAAAATATTATAATAAACATTTAAAACATGATTTTTTCAAATTCATTTATTCTTCATTCTGTTAAGAAAAAATGAGAAGAAATTGTAAACAATTAATTTGATTTGCTTATTTTATTGCTAATTGATAGACTGATTTGCTAATAATGTTTTAGGTCAGTATGAGACTAAAATTAGGATAAGTGTGTTTGTGTTAATTTTATTTGTATATTCTGAATATATACTATAAGAATAGCATAAAATAGGATTTGTAATATATAATTAGAATCTTTAAATACCGTACGTTGATATTAGTAATTTAAATAAATGATTTTTTATTTTCAGAATATATTCGATGTTATATTATGATCGCCTAATACCTCGTGTCATCACCACCGTAGCCCGAGTACAACACAAAAACGCTTCAGAGGCGCTCTCATGTCCAGGAGTAAGGCGAAGCACAAAAGCCAAAGGCAAAAGGCGAGATTGAAAGTGAAAAGCCCGAGGAAAAAAGAATAAGAAAAAATCAGCGAAACGCCGGCCATTGTTAGGGTAAGATTAACACTTAATTATTAAACGGGACCGTTCTTCTCTGACAACAAAAAATATATGTGCCTCAAAAGGAACCTTATGTCTTTCCTTTCTGACGTTTTTAGTTTCATTAATTTCGAGACATGGAATAAAAGCGATATGGCCAAGATGAATATGCGAAATTTTTCTTTGTTGGTTTAAAGACGCAGTTTTAACTTGGGGTTGGGCTGATATTGAAATATTTAATCGCTATTCAGAATATATCAACAAATATCAAACAGCTTGATACATATCATATAGTTGAAAATTTCATGATTTATAATTAATTTCAATATTATTTTATATTATATCAGTATAAAATAATGGTAAAAACATCTACGAAGGTTCAGGAACTAGACACTTAGAGGACGTTTCTCCGATAACATGAAAATGTTATGGTAACGCTATGTTACGGGTCTATCATCTTATGAATTGGTAGTTACAAATTTTTTTTTACAC